GTCTCAGCCATGAAATAAATTAGCAGGATGGATTTCCTGAGAATGTTATATGTGAGCTTCGTTCCCTCAAAGCCCCTCCCATGCTGAACAAACAATAAATTTCTCTTCTGCGCGGAGGGGGAAAGAGTAACTTTTGAAATAAAAGCAGGATTGTAATGCTGACCTTGTCTCCTCGGTTTTAAATAGTTTTCACGATATAATCAATGGTAATGGTATACATGAGGTTTTGTTTAAAGGAAATACAACACCTTAATTGTACTGCTTAAAGAGAAGCATTGCATCAGAAAGATTCATTTAAATACGTTTGACTCGAGGCTCCCTTCACAATTCATTCATGCTGATTTTCTCTTGGACTTGTTAGGAATGCAGAGTATAGAAAGAAATCAGCCCTGCTGGATCGTAACATTCTGTCCCTAAAAGCTCACTTTTATTCAGAAATCTTAGCTGCCAACAAAAGGCTTCCTTTTCATTGTAATTTGCAACTTCAAGTGCATTTGAAACCTGGCTGAATGTTGCAGAGATTTAACACAACATGCTTGTTTCTGTGATTAAATAGTTGTTTGAATGAGGAGCTGACAGAGACTGACCAACGCCAGGAAAATTCTGTGCACAGAATCACCGCAACCCTTTTTTAAAAAAATAATTTATTTCATTTACAACTAAATTTACAATTACAAATTTCATTTACAAATAAACTTACAATTTATTTCATTTACAATACATGTTCAATTCATCTTTCATTTAATGGTGTGTCATCTGGTTACAAATGCCTTGTGCCATAACAATTAAATTTTACAACCATATTCATTATTTTAATATTAATTCTCTATTCTTATCATATTAGTATACAAATTATTTCTATCACTATAACATTTCTCTTCTTTACATATCCAATTCTATTAACATATTTTGTGTATTTCAATGGTCTAATAATTATTTCTAGCTTTCATATTGTTGGAAGAATTATCCTTCTGGGTTCAGTTCCAAGTGGGGAAAATGACACTGGAAACATGGTGGCTGCTCAGAAAGATGGTTTAATGGTGGACTAGACCACATGGCTTGGAGCTCCAAAGAAGGAAGGGTCACATGCTTCAAGATGAAGGAAAAGAAGGGAGGGCTGAGATGCCGAAAGTGCCTGGGTTTGATTGGTTGCCAGACTCCCATGGGGCCATGCAGGAGCAACTCTGTAGGCTGTCCTGAATCCCAGGCTTGGTTGAGCCTGGCTGGATGGTGATGTAATAAAAGGGCTTTGGGCAATTTCTATAGCTCTACCTGGAGATCTTTGTTATGTAAAATAGGCTGGCCTAGGCCAGAGTAATGGCCCATTAGCAAAGGTGGGGGGGGGGGCTGAGTTTCTACTTCTGAGTTTCTACTCTTTTTAGGGGAAATATTCTGCCTTTTTAATATTTCCTAAAATATTTCATTTTTCTACAAGAGGAGTGGGTACTAACTTCCAACAATATTTTTTTTCTCTTGGAAAAAATAATCACTGGAACCCACCAATCCATGTAAAAGCACATGCAGAGGGTACATACAAGCCATGTTTGGGACTGAATTGTTGGACTTTCTGGAGTGGCAACTGAATTCAGCTGCCAGGCCAAAACAGTTGAGAAGCCACTGGCAAAACAAGCAAAAAAATTTGGGAGCAGCAATTGGGAGACCAGAGCAAGGGAAAAAGCCGGGAGCTCTTGTGCTTAAAGAAGGATGGAGGCCTAGGTTCAGTCATTTGCCCTTCCAACAAAGGTCTCCCCTTTGCCACAAGTTTGGACAGTTGTGTTGGTTTTCATACGTTGAGACACGCCCGTTTGAACCTGAGCGCTCCCTCCTGCTTCTTCAAGGGCCCCAAAGAAAAACCGGATCCCTCTGACATCTCTCCCACGGTCCCTTGTGGAGGGGCTCGAGGGGGGCCTTTGGGCACTGGGCAACCTCGGATGAGGCTTTTGCCCTTCCCTTCCTACACATTGGCAGTTCAGGGTACAAGTATTTATTTATTTTTATTTATTTATTTGATTTGTCAATTGTTTACAAGATAATAAGTACAAGTGTATACATAGTTGTGAATATATGAAATGGGTACATATAAGAAAAATAAAAGAATAAGAGAAACAATAGGACAGGGACGGTAGGCACGTTGGTGCGCTTATGCACGCCCCCTACAGACCTCTTAGGAAAGGGGTGAGGTCAATAGTAGACAGTCTAAGGTTAAAGTTTTTGGGGTTTGGGGAAGAGACTACAGAGTCGGGTAGAGTATTCCAGACATTGACCACTCTATTGCTGAAGTCGTATTTCCTGCAATCAAGTTTGGTGCGGTTTACTTTGAGTTTGTATCTGTTGTGTGCTCTTGTGTTGTTATGGTTAAAGCTGAAGTATTCATTGACAGGTAGGACATTGCAATGTATGATTTTATATACCATGCTTAAGTCGGACCGAAGACGGCGTAATTCGAGGTTTTCTAGTTTTAGAATTTCGAGTCTGGTGGCATAAGGTATTCTACAACGGGTAGAAGAGTGGAGAACTCTTCTTGTGAAATACTTCTGGACTTTCTCAATTGTGTTAATATCACATACGTGGTAAGGATTCCAGACTGATGAACTGTATTCGAGTATTGGTCTAGCAAATGTTTTGTATGCTCTGGTTAGTAGTGAGATATTACCAGAGAAAAAGCAACGTAGGATTAGGTTAACAACTCTTAATGCCTTTTTGGCTATGTAGTTGCAGTGGGCTCTAGCACTTAGATCATTAGAAGTGAGTATTCCCAGGTCCTTTACAGAGCTTGGGTCATCAACAAGATCTTGACTATTCAGCTTGTATTTTATTTTCTGATTTTTTTTACCAATATGTAAGACAGAGCATTTATTTGTTGAGATTTGAAGTTGCCATATGTTAGACCATTCAGATACATAGTCTAGATCTTTTTGTAGGGTAGTAGTATTGTCTGTGGTATTGAACAGCTTTACATCATCAGCGAAGAGAACGCAATTGCTCTTGATATGATCACAAAGGTCGTTTATGTAGATTATGAAGAGAGTTGGTCCTAGAACACTGCCTTGGGGAACACCACTATTGACAGGTACTGGATTTGATAGGGCGTTCCCAATTTTGACCATTTGTTGTCTGTTTGACATGAATGCTTCTATCCAGTTATTCAGTTGTCCAGAGATACCATAAGATTTTATTTTTAGGAGTAGTTTGTCGTGTACCACTGAATCAAAGGCTTTGCAGAAGTCTATGTAGATTGCGTCTATTGCTTTGCCCTGGTCGAGTTGTGTAGTCCATATGTTTTTGCAGTGTAAGAGTTGCAGATTACAGGATAGTTTTTTTCTGAAACCAAATTGTTTATTGGAGAGTAGGTTGTTTGTCTCTAAATGGAGGATGATGGATTGGTTAATAATTGATTCCATGACTTTACAGGTGACGCAGCATAAGGAGATTGGTCTGTAATTTTCAACTAGGCTTGGGTCTCCCTTTTTGAAGATGGGGATGACTGTGGCTTGTAACCATAGGTTGGGCAAGGAGCTGGTTCTGAAAGATTTTTCAAAGATTATGCTTAGAGGTTTGGCTATGGCAGTGGATAGCTTTCTTAAGAAGTAGGCACATATTCCATCCGGTCCAATAGATAGAGATGGTTTTAGGTTGCGTAGTGCTTTTTCAACGTTGTCTACTGTAAAATCGATATGTATTAGATCATTGTTGTTATCTGTGGTACGGCTAGGAAACATTGGGCATGATCCATTACTGTTTACAAACACTGAGCCGAAGAATGTGTTAAAGATGTTGGCTTTAATGGTGTCGTCGCTGCAGTCTTTACCATCAGGTCCTATCAAGGGAGGGATGGACCTTGAGTCTTTTAGTTTGTTGTTTACAAAATTGTAAAAAGCACGGGTGGAATTGGTGCTTAGAAGGTTTTCCTCTTGTTTAATGTGGTAATTGGTGCATTCGGTCTTTATCTGGTGGCATAAATTTTTGTATCGGTTTTTGAAATTAGCAACGTGACCAGATTTGTTTTTCCGCCAGAGTGATCTCTTTTTGGATTGAAGTTTCCTTATTGATATGGGTAATCTGCTTTTTTGTTTTGTTTTTGGAGTTGTTGTTGGAACATATAGTTTGATGACTCTTTTGACTTCAAGTAAAAATATGTTGTAATGGTCTTCAACAGTATTGCATCCAGTGAATAGAGATTGCCAATCGAGGGATGAGAGATCATTATCTATAAGATCATAGTTGCCTTTTTTGAAGTTACAATTAGGGATGACATCATTGTGGTGATTTTTGTGTGGACGTATGTTGAGGCAAAAGTCAATCATATTGTGGTCACTACTGGAAAAGGGTTCTTTGGTTTGTATTCGGTAAATTAAATTCAAACTATTGCAGAAGATGAGATCGAGGCAGTTGTTCAGTCTAGTGTTGTTGGTTACTAGTTGTTCAAGACCTAGATTTGTAATAGCATTGTAGAAGGTTGTGTGTATGATTTCAGTTGTACAATTATTTAGGGTCCAGTCAATATGAGGTAGATTGAAATCTCCAAGAAAGATAAAAGGGTATGGGCAGGATGTAGCCCATGTTAGTAGTGTATTTAGCTTGTTTACATGTTCGATGTCATAATCAGGTGCTCTGTAACATAGTAAGAATCGAATTGTGATATTTAAGGATAGTTCACAGATGATATCCCCCAACCTATCCCCCAACCTATGACCACAATGGGACACTAAGCATGGCGGTGGTTGAGTCACGCCTGATTTTACAACCTATTTGGCCATGTGGGGGATGAGTGAATTGGGTTTCCCCCTCTGACAAAACAGTTGTTACCAGACCTGGAGAGCAGATCTGCGAAGGACGTCCGGGAGACTTCCAGCACTTGGGAGAGTAACAAAAGAGACGGCCTGAGCCTTTGACTTCCTTTCTTGAAAAAGCCATGGGCAAGTTGTGTGCATTAGTTGCATTGCTGTGCTGTAACCTCTCTTGTTCCCCCCCCCCCCCCCGATTTATTCCTCCCTTAATAGAAAGTGGTAGAACTAGTCAAACCTGCAAAGACCCCTTTTCCTGCCCCCTTGGAAGAAGGCTTAGCCAGCGACATCTATTCCAAGTTCCTAGCTCAGACCCCAGGGGAGGAAGAGGAGGAGGAAGAGGAGGAGGAGGCAACCAAGGTAAGTGGAGCTCTCTGGGAGAAAGCCAAATGCCATCTTGCCATCGCCAAACTCCTTCATTCCTCGGCTTGCGTTCCCAGGGGACAGTTTTCATGGCCTTAACTGAGAGGCTGCCCTGATCTGCTCCTTCCCCAATTGAAGCTTGGAGGCCTCTGAGCAACCAAAAGAGGACCTGGCCCCAGCCTGGGCATCTTCTCAGCCCCAAAGGAAAGCCCCACCGCTTCGTGGCTTTCCCGGCATCCCTTCACTCACATTCACACATGCATTTTCTCTCTCTCTCTTTCTCTCTGTCTCTGTGTCTCCCTCTCTGTCTCTGTCTCTCTCTCTGTGATCTCTGTCTCTCTCTGTCTCTCTCTCTCTGTCACTCTCTCTCTGTCACTCTCTCTCTCTCTGTGTGTGTGTGTGTGTGCCTGTCTCTCTTTCTGTGTCTCTGTCTCTCTCTTTGTCCCTCTGTCTCTCTGTGTGTGTCTCTGTCTCTGTGTGTCTCTCTCTGTCTCTGTGTGTTTGTGTGTCTGTCTCTCTCTCTGTGTCTCTGTCTCTCTTTGTCTCTCTGCC